ATATATTTATTTAAAGCTTATTTATAAAGGGAAACGTGGGCTCTACAGCGTGACCCGTGGCAGTATCTGGCTGCTCTTCCGTGCACATTTGAGCTCAGCCTTCCGATAAGACGGACTACATTTTTCCTCCGCAGTTCCCAGCCTGACCTACTTTTACTGCCCCTGCAGCGCGGACTTCACCCCTGGCACACCGACAGAACTAGGCTGTCGATTAATTCCTGAAAAGTGTGCCTTTTTTTGTGCAGAAGTTCAAAAGTCATATACATGAAATAAAATGATTACTTTCCGATTACAGACCCGATCCTGGCCTCTTATAACTCTATCAAAAAGTGGTGCTGGCGGTGTTAAAAAGGATGTTGGAGACACAGGCCTGTGGTTATTAATGTACGTTTCATATGAGGCGGTAAATCCCTGTTATCACCGACTAAAGCCACCATCCATAGGCTGTAGCAGGAGGCCATTTCACTGAGGGATAGAATTAATACAAGCTATATCTACCATCGGCTCTGCTCTTCTTTTAATAATAATGGCTAATAATTATAGTAGTATTAGGCAGCTAATAGTAGGATAATAATAATGCATCCGTACATGCATCGTTCATTATTTTTGATTGTTTAAAAAAATCGTCTGAGTGTGAGAGTCCTGCATTTTGCCATCATATAGGCTCCATGCGATGACAGCAGGTATTTTAGAAGCTAAATGATCCAGTTAGTCTAGAGTTATTTTACAGTAAATATTCTTCATGATGTAGGGCTATATGGCAGCACCCAGTACTGTTCCTAAACCTGTTATTCAAGTTTTATTTTAGATTCAAATGAACAGCTGTGGCACCATCGTTTCAAACTTGCTTATCCTGCTCCAGGAACCTCCAAGGCATTTCCCAGAATTCTTTTTATGGATGTTGTTCAGTCGCATTGAAGTGTTAGCAGAGCTGATGATGAACTGTATGTGTTATTATCTATATCCATGACTTTTAATCCAGTGTGAGCCGATTTAAGCAAGAACACTGACAAAGAGAAATGTGCTCCCTCACAGAGCCAGGCCTGACTCGGAAACTGGTGCAGCCTCCACGGGTGTGAGGTTTCCTGCTGTGCCAAACAGCGGTGAGAAAATCGCTCAAAACAGGAAGAGGAAAAACCCAACGGCAGTGAGAAACTACCAGTCCAGAACCAGGCAATTCGATATGAAAAGGAGAAAGGGGATCATTCATTAGGGACCAAAGAGCTGTAGCTGGTCTTGAAGCACTGCGAGTCCTTTAGAAATGAAACCGACTTAAAAGATAAATGTTGTGTAGCTGTGGGGGAAGACTGCGTCCTGTGTTGGTGTCCTGCTGGTAAAATCCGACTTCAATGAAAACTGAGTGTGTTGTGACTTGGAGGTGCATGTGCAGAATGTATCTGGGGTCTGACGTGGACGTGGGGACAGGTGGCGTCCTGTGCTGTCCTTAGACAGGGTGTCCATAACACTATGGACTTATGAATCACAGTTTGGTGTGAATTCACAGCATGTCAAGAAACACAGTGTGCTCAGATAAAATGGCCTCCAGTCGCATTTGATAACTAAATCAATATCAATTAGCATTTTTATCAGATTTCAAATATTTGGCCGTATGTTTTTATTTGCCTTTCTGACTTTTGTTTTGTTGCTGTGGTGTAACTAATATTTAAAAAAAAAACAAAACAACTTATAATTAAATTAAATTTAAAAAACAAATAAAAAGACTGTTAAAATATACAGGCTAATCTGACCTCCTTTGATAGTGTCACTAAGATTCTTTCCTCATAAAGTATTAGAGCAGTTACACTGTATTATTAGACGTTCATTGTTTGTTCATACAACAATAATATTGAGGCAATATAATCCTTAACAGTTACAATGCGCCGTGTTGTTACAAGTAGTTTTTGCTCTATTGTGTGTATATATAGTTCTGACACATGTTAAAGTGTTTCCAGAGCTCAGTGTGATCAGTAGTCTGTCCGCCTTGTCTCTGCCCTTTGCTCGGACTGAACCTTTGTCAACTCACGGGGTTTCACTGACCCAGGCCGCCGCAGAGACAAGTCTGACTGCAAAGACAGCAAATGTTTGTTCGTGTGTCTTGTGAGACACATACTCAGTGCACGCGCTGGTGCAGGGAATTAAAAAATTCAATCAGGCTGATACACTGCGCACTGAGTGTGCGCGCGCGTGCGTGACCGTGGCAGAGAGAGAGAGAGGCCCCTTACACGCTGCCTTTTCCAGGCGGGATTGGTGCGCCGTTATTCCGTCTCATTTTCTGTGTGTAAGGCGCAAAACCGGGATTACGGGCCATTGTCGGCCGCCTTGGGAGGTGGTACCAGAGGCGAAGCAAAGGGGAGACGGGCTCTGTGTAGAAAGGATGAGCCGCCAGTCCGGAACCAAGTGCTACGTTATTACCGACGTTTCAAGTCTGCAGGCCTCTCTCCCTCGAACTGCGCTCGGCTTCTCTGCAACTTACAGGTCAAAGGATTCCTGATGTCGCGAACGCATTGACTGCAGTTATTACTCATGACATTCACACGCTCACCAATTTTGTGTGAAGTGAAAAAATGCCTGAAGAGCCAACAAAGCTACTGTTACTTTGGTTTGTAGACGACAGGCGCAAAATGTATGACGCATCTCGCCTCTGTGCGGAATACAGGCCTGCTGTCTGAATTCACAGGCTGGCCCGCGATTATACCGCCCTTAACTTGATCCGTATGAACAGCACAAGGGCGGGATATTGGTGACCCTTCTCCGTGTAAGAGACAGAGCTCCCTTGATCTGGTATTGGGGGAATAAACAGCCTCACATGGACGAGCTGAACAGATCAGGTCAGCCACAGCCCACCAGCAGCAGATAGTGGTCAGAGGTGTATTCATGGGTCTGAAAACAGCTTTCTGTGAGCGCAATGTCATCCTGATCATACCCAGCTGCTAAGCAGCTGTTCTGTTTTGGGCCAAAAATAAAATATCTAGGACAGAGGTTCCACTCACAGCAGTCTTACTTACTTCATGAATCTCTAGTAAAGCAAAGGGTGAAAACTGAGGAAACTGATAACACACACACACACACACACACAAACACACACAGAGTCCTCTGCCTATCTGGAATTCTCATGTCAATGCAGAACTTGACCCCAGTAGGCAGTCACACTGGCTCTCTGCTGTGAAAATGAGCCCAGCTCTGTCAGCACCAGGTCAGAGCTGCTGCTGCTGTCTGGCCTCCACAGAAACATGGGAAAACACTAATACACACTCACCATGTAGCTTATTAGTGGTTTTGATTTTCAGAAAAATGAGCAATTATGAAGATTTTTGCAGTTTTATTTAACGTCTGAACCAAAAACAGATCTGTCATACATGGAAATGCACAATGCAGTGATCACTGAAGTAAAAAAGGTCATGAAACACAATTTCCCTTTATTCATTCATCAGCTAAATATAAGCTAATTGTACAACAAAATGATTCATGCAAACCTTTTCTAAATGAGACCACACAGTTACCTTCATTATTTATTATTTATCCTGATGTGACTTGTCCTAAATCAACTACCTCATTCATTAGTGAAGAGCACAGAAGGTTATTCTTCTGAGTAATATTTCATGCCATATCTTAGTGACCTCAGTCATCCAGGTCATAGTGAACTGAAAAAAACTTTGAAAAAATCAACTGGACGTAGATTTCTAGGTCGAAGACATTTCACCTCTCATCCAAGAGGCTTCATCAGAACTGAACATCTAAGTCCAGTTGATTTTTTCTAAGTTTGTTTCAATTTCATGCCATAATTCATCATGACAGCGTATTGTCCTTCTCACGTAAAGCCTTGACAGTTTTTCTACCAGTGTAAGCAGTGGGCAGGGCCAAGCAAAGCAAAACCACCAACAGCTTCTTTATCTTCTTCACCTTATTCATAAGTCTTCTCCTGGAGTTCCTCAACACAGTTTTATAGGGTTTGGAGGGAGGGGAATTCTCCTCCTGCTAAAGTATCTATCTATCTATCTATCTATCTATCATGCATTTTATTTAGTTTTCTTTACCTATCCAGCTGGATTTACCTAATGTCAAGTTTTTAAAGTGTATATTATTATTATGTAACTTTAATTATCAGGTTTAAAAATATTTCTCTATGTGCCAGTAATGATCTAGGTCGACTCATTTAGTTAATATAAAAGTGACTTTGTTAGCTTGTATTGCTAATTTTTTGAGGACCTATTTTAGGTTTTAAACAGTGTAGTGAGGACATCGCTGCCTTATTCAGCTCTTATTACTTCAAAGCCCTGTTTGAAGGTTAAAACTTGGTGTTAAGGATAAAGTGAGAATTAAATTTGGCTCATAGGGTAAGATATAGAGATGAACATATCACATTATGTCAGTGAGGGTCCTCTCAAGTACAACATAAAGAGAAACGTGTGTGTTTAATTTTAATACTATGGTTGTTAAATGTACTTTTTATACTGAATTACACACAGTGTACAACACAGCGAGATAAATGTATCCCAGACATTAAAGGGGAAATTTCACGCTTTACAGAGTTTAGCTATTAGTCAAGAGGAGAACAAGACTAAGCCTTGAAAACAGTTTGTATGGTATTTTATGATTCTGCAGAGACTTCACTCCTACACTAGCCGCAGATCATCATGAAGGCCACAGCCTTCCACGGCTGCTTGGCAGCACCGGTGACCAACTCACTAGGGGCTCTTCAGCTGTTATTACCCAAGATAAACATCCTGGTGTGACCCACAGTGGCAAGCACCTCACTGGGCACTTTCTGCCTTAAACGATGGTGGTGAGGGCTCCGCAGCATCACTCAGAGTGGCGATGCAGTTGTGTGATGGATGGGTGGATGGACAGGCTGTTCTGCAGGGGTCACATCCTGCAGTTTGTCATCCCAAGATTGGAGACATGAGACTCATCCTTGATCTATCCCTGTTTACTAAATACTGGAGAGACTGTTCCTCACACCAATGGTGAAACAGTCATGGAGAGTGTCCATCAGGTGACTGGTTCACACCTGTGGACCCAGAGGACCCCTGTTCCCATCATCCCCAGAAAGGAGGAAATGATTCATTTCAGGGGATCTAGTCTCAATACAACCGCTTGCTGTTCAGCTACCCCCTGCTTCTTGCCCATTTTCTGAACATGAGGAGACTGCACCAGAGAGTTACATAGAAAAGGAGGAGAGTGCTTGTCTATGACTTGATAGTTTGATATTACAGGCATGTTTTATGGAGGAAGCCACACTGCAGATGATGGAGCTGGTATTGTGTCTGTCCACTGTGGAAAACTGGAAAAAATGTGTGGGTGGATGTGCTGTCATCTCCCCCAAGTGACACTCACTCATATGATGCAGCTACCATGTATGATGTCCCCCTTGGTCTCCTTTAGATTCAACAGTTTTCAGAGGTGGTTCACCTGCCTCTACCTTAACCTCCGTGAGTCATCTGTAAGTCAGGTGCCCGGCCGGGGTGCCCCCCATCACACATCTCAGTTCTTTCTATGTTCTCTGTCAGGGTGGGAAGGTGCATGTTTTCTCATAAGTGCTGGGAGGACTATGGTGCACGTAAGTTACTCCACATAAATGCCCTGGAGCTGATCACTGTTAGAACAGTATGTTGCCCTTCTACCAGCCTCTGTCGGAGGTTTCTTTTGTTAAAGGGAGTTTTTCCTCCCCACCGTCGCCAAGTGCTTGCTCAAGGGGATTTGATGGGGTTTTCCTCTATAATAATAATGATGATGATAATATTAGTAGTAAGGTCTAGACTTTACTATGTAAAGTGTCCTGAGATGACTTTTGTTGTGACTTGGTGCTATACAAATAAAAATAAATTGAACTGAATTGAATTGGCCGTGTGACACTGTCTTACAGGAATATATAGCCTCTGGGTGGGACTTCCAGCAGGCACCCAGCTGCACTCCATTGGAGGGATTCACTCTCCTGATCAGAAAGGAAATAAGTGGTATCACACATGGAGTAAGGAGTAAGACTGCCCCAGAGTTGGGCGAGTGAGGAATTTTTTTTTTTTCCTTACAACAACTTTTAATGATGACAAAGAGAGGTGTGAAAAAAGTCACTGTCTACAGTGCCATGGATCAAACCCTAGCCCAGCTAACAGACTGTCCAACAGAGATGTAAATGACTTTGTTAGGTTCCAGGTCTTCCCGGTAGCCAGAGGGATGGAAACCTGTCATGGAAAGGCTCATCAAAATCAGGTACACTGTTTGAGTTAAGCAAAATGGTTTAACTATTTATTTACATAATGAATCAAGATATACATATCTGCATTTATAGGTCTCTCAATGAGTATGAGAATACAGGAACCTTGTCAGCTCCAACTGGTGGAGAGGTGCGGTTTGTGAGTACTGCACCTTACAACAATTTGCTTTCAAATTGGCATTTTACATTAAACTGTAAAGTGCACTGAAGCAACAACAGATGAATCTATACTGGGTACATCTAATGATGATAATCAATTTTATTGGGCAAGTATGTTACACACACAAGAAATTTGTCTTCGGTACATCTGTGGCACCAACTCACACACACACACACACACACACACACACACACACACACAGCTGGCAGCGCTGTCCCTGCATGGTGCTGCTCTGGACATCAGGAACAACTTGGGGTTCGGTGTCTTGCCCAAGGACACTTTGACATGTACTCATAGACTGGGGAGAACAGGAATCAAACTGCCGACCTTCCAGTTGGGGGACGACCACCCTCCTGATCCACAGACACCACCCCCAACTCAATCTACTTTAGTCTTACAGTAACAGTACTGTCATACATCATAGCTCCAAAAGGGTATATATTCAGTTTATGACTGTTTAAGAGAGTTTTTGATTCCAGTTAATGGTCATTTTGGAGGCAGTATTTTATGGAGTAGTTAAATTGTATTAAGTTATACCTTAAGGTGTTTGCAACGCCTCCAAAAAGATTCAGAGGCTCAAAGCTCCCAAAAATACAGTCAAATCAGCACCCCTGTAAACAATAAACAAATATATGTACAGTATATATGTACTGTATACCTTAATGAAGGTAGGATTAGTCTGAGTATGAGATGGGACTAACTGACTAGGAGCTTGATTTCATTTGCACTCCGCTGTAAGCAGAAGCTGTAAAAATTTTTAAAATTTCTGTAAAACTTTTTTTTACATGTGATGTGAGCTAAAACTGTCTGGAAACATTTCACTTCTGTTATTCCAGGAAAAATTCATATTTGTTCATTGGTTAATCCATGCATTCATTCTGCCATCCATTCTCTGCTGCCTGTCCAGGTTCAGGTGATGTTTAATGAGATTACTTATGAATTGTTACACACAGCTACAAGCAGTGTTATAAATTGGATAAAGTAATTGTAGTCTGTATGATCCCTACTTTTTTGGCTATGATCAAGAAATGTATAAAATTCATTCTTTGTGGTTTAAACATGCTTTTGAATGGCTTACATGTTAACTTGTTGGATTTACAAAAACCCTGATATCAGAATAGAAATGAAATATTCTATAGCCATATTCTTGTTATGGGCATATTATCCACTCTAAATGGGTAATTTTGCAAAAGCAGCATTAGAAAGTTGGCCGAAGGCCGTAGCTAATGCAAGTTCCTAAAACTAAAGTTGTCTTGGCATACTATTTTATTCATTAAGATTTGGTTGAAATTGAATTTAATTAATTTTAATTTAGAAGATACTTAACATTGTAGAGTATTGTATTTTCACAAACATGGTAACCATGCTCTGTGAAAACACACATTTAAAAACCTTTTTCAGTTTATGTGACACGTACTGAAAATAATCTGTCATGCAAATAGTTTAGACAACAGTTGTATGAAACGTTAGGATTAAATGTTAAAGTTGACATTTAATACATATTTAACAAATGTTCATCTGTAATTGCACCAACAAAAAATGGCCTATATGTTTTTAACACAGAAATAACACATCTGTATGTAAACCTACGGTATGTAAACGGTAAGAGTGGGGAACACACATGACTTTATTAAAAATTTGACACCACACATGTTGTCCCTGAGCTGATGTCAAAACAGTTTGTCCTTTCTCCTTAACATTACTGACCTCTGCTGTTGTAACAACCACGTCTCCTGACACAGCGGGTCATAACTGTCTCATCTATTTTTGAACGTGATTTCAGGGCTTGTTACATCGCCTACATGTAAACATATAAGATTTATTTGTTTTATTTATTTCACTAACTGACGGACTGCCACTGACGTCACTGTTTCCGTTTATGCTGCTTGCTGGCCTTGTTCATCATGTGTCTCAAGCACCGTGAAAAACTGAATTATAACGCTGCCTCGATTAATTTCTGGGGCACAGAGAGCTCTTGTTTCCTCGATGTGATTATCTAACGAGCTCACAATGCACCTCTGAGCGCATGCGTGCTATGGGGTTAGGCGCTTTGAATCAAAGACGATAAAAAATAGTGAGATGCACACTGTCATCATTGCCATGTTCGTGTGCATATCATCAGGAAAACTAGAAAAATGACGTCTCACGTATAAAAATTAAATATTCTATAGCCATATTCTTGTTATGGGCACATTATCCATAACAAGGATGGGTAATTTTGCCTATAGTCCAGAGAGTGAGTTTCTGGACCGTGACTGGAGGTCTGGAGGTGTAGTCTCTGTATTGTAGTTGATAGTGATCACGGACACATAAAGGCTCACCTGCACGACACTGGTCGCAAACGGTTATGGCAATGTTACAATGATAATAAAATAAAAGAAGAGGAGTCAAAAGTAAAATTTTAGCTTCTAAAATTTAGTGAAGTTGAAGCATGAAGTAGCACAAACTCAAAATATTCAAGCAAAGTACAGATACCACAAATTGTACTTAATTAACTAAGTACAGTACTTGAGTACTTAGTTACTTTCCACCACTGCTTAAGTACAATTTTGAGGTATTTTTACTTTTGCTTCAGAATTTCCATTTTTGTCTGATTTATATTTCTACTGCACAACATTTCAGAAGGAATTATTGTAGGCCTACTTTGTACACCACTGAATTTTTCTGACAGCAGTAGTTAATACATTTATTCATAAATAAAAACAATAAAGGTATAGCAGAACTTTCCTCTTTCTTATCCCATACTCATTTCTTAACCCCTCTCGACCTTAGTCCATAGATATCACTGGATTAAACTACACAAATGGTCATCTATGTGCTAATATACAAACAAAAAGCTAATTAAATTGATGTTGCTAATGCTTCTGTGTTTTTACATCAGTAGGTATGTCGGACATTTACTTGTAGGCTAATGGGATATTTTATAGTTTTACTTCAGTAAAAGACTTAGAACGGTGTGAATATTTTTAATGATCTCTTATGGCAGTAGGCTACTGTAATCCTGAGGTGGACTCTATTGTTGTTCCACACTCCAGCCCAGCAGGTGGCGGTAATGCACCTTAAGTTGGCTTGCAAACCTCCAATAAACATCATCATCAGAAGAAGAAGCAGAAGAAGGCTCACAGTCTTACGCATGCGTATTTTCCCGGTAGGTGAGCTGAGTTAGCTTGACGTTTATGTACTCTCTGCTGAAACAAGTTAGCGGGGTAGCTCCTGGCTTCAACGTCACATCGTTTCCGTTTGCTTCACAGCTTTTTATGAACGTGTCTGTGTTTAAGCAAAAGTTAGTGGCAGCGCCTTTTCGGTGTCTGTAACCATGAGTATGGCAGGGGAACGTGGCGTGCGTCCTGTGTACACATTTCCAGAGCTCTCCTTCCTAGGCTAGGGATTTCCGTTCATTAGCGTCGCTCGCGCTACCGTCCGGCAGCAATGTGCGAGGAGGGGGACGAGGTGCAGGACGAGTGCGGCTCCCGGGAGGAGTGGACGCTGCTGTTCTGGACCTCTCTTGCTGTCGTTATCCCGGTCATCATCACACTGTGGTGCAGCGCGCAGCGCTCCAAGCGCAAAACGCATATGAAGGATTTCTTTCGCAAGAGCAAACACGGCTGGCACTACACAGACCTGTTCAACAAGCCCACCTACTGCTGCGTCTGTTCCCAGCACATCCTGCAAGGGGCTTTCTGCGACTGCTGCGGTGTGTGCGCCGACGAGCACTGCCTGCGCAGAGCCGACCAGGGCCTGCCGTGCAAAGAGATCATGGCGCCCTCGGGCCCTGATGGAGCCATGGAGCATCGCTGGGTCCGCGGAAATGTCCCCCTGGCCAGCTACTGTGCAGTATGCAAACAACAGTGTGGGACCCAGCCGAAGCTGTGCGACTTCAGGTAGCGTAGGCGATGCCACATCTGCACACACATGTGAGGGAGAACCACGTTGCTGTGTACACCGCAGGTCTGCAGTTGCATTTTCGCGTTAAAAGACACGCTTTTGATAATTTTGCATCCACGGAGAGCTTCCAAACACAGTCTAGTAATCAGATGGTTAGCTATATTTAGACATGCCTTTAAAATATTAATGAAAACAAATCGTTTCCTGCAGGAAAGGCTCTACATTTCATCTTTTCCCAGAAAGGTCACAATGCTGCATGACGATTTTTCAGTTTTTAATCTGTCAGTAATTTTCTGTAATGGACTGCTGCTCTCTGCTGCTCATTACTGCTTAACCAAGTAATGACCCTTTGACCCCGCCTGTTTTCACAGGTCAGAGACAGACCTGCATTTCTGCAGCTAGTAAAGATTCAGGGACTTGCTGCTGCTTTTGGGCATTTCCTTTCTTTTCTCACAGGTTTGTGTCCCTCTGTTCCTCCCTCAGGTGTGTGTGGTGTCAGACCACAGTGCATGATGACTGCATGGACAGCCTGGCGGATATGGACCACTGTGACCTGGGCGAGTTCCGCAGCCTCATCATCCCTCCTCACTACCTCTACTGTGTCAACAAGCTCCGCCGCAGGCACCCCGACGAGTACACCAAGGTACAGGGTTGTTAGGTGTCACGGTGCGCCCGTACTGTGCTTTATGTGGTGCCCCAGAGCTGTTGTAAGCAGTGTTGGTGTTGTGTACTCATGTTTCTGCAGCTGGCATCTTCCTGTGGCAATGCCTGGACTCCAGTGTTGGTCTTGGCTAACACGCGTAGCGGTAACAACATGGGGGAGGCGCTGCTGGGAGAATTTCGCACACTTCTTAATCCTGTGCAGGTCAGTCTGTAGCTTCTCTACCTGCTGCAATTAGACTACTTGTCCCTTTTCCCTTTTTTCAAGGTTTTTTTGAATACAGAACCTGACGGGAACAGGTCTTTCCTCTCATCTCTCCTCCAGGTGTTCGACCTGTCGGAGCTGTCACCCTCCAAAGCCCTCCAGCTGTGCACTCTGCTTCCTCCTGGCAGTGTCCGAGTACTGGTGTGTGGAGGCGATGGCACAGTGGGTTGGACGCTGGATGCCATCGACACTATGAAGCTAAAGGTGAGATGGGACTGTCTCTGTGCAGTGAGAGGGAATTTGATTTAAATGGATAAATTTTAGTATTACATCTTTATTTATTGTGTCCATCTATGTACTGCGCTTCTATGTGCGGCGTTAATAACACTGCTGCGACTCTTGGACTTGTCCTGTGCCAGGGCCAAGACCTGTTTATCCCAAGGGTGACCATCCTGCCCCTGGGGACAGGAAATGATCTTTCCAACACTTTGGGCTGGGGTGCCGGGTATGCTGGAGAGATCCCTGTGGAGCAGGTTCTCCGTAACGTTCTCGATGCAGAAGTTGTCAAAATGGACAGGTGGGGCAGTGATATTGCTTTTAGTATTTGCTTTGGGAACAATTATTTCACAAGGTCTGAGAGTGTACCAATATTTGATCATCTTGTAGCTTGATGTAGTCGTAGTTCGATGCATAGAGAATGTATGATTCAGTTTAATCACGAGTCAGTTAAAAATTCAATGAAAACAATGTATGACTAGCTACAGAATACTTGTGCTTTATTCCTCTTTTCCCCTTTTCTACCACTGGTTTGATTATGTAAAGAACAGCCAGATATACTGACTTGGGCTCTGTCGGGTTTGTTATTTACAAAAAATATGAAGTTGCTGCTGTATGAAGACCACATAATATATATCGCTAGACAAAACGATACATAATGTGACATTTTTGTATCACAATATATTGAATTTCAATATAAATACTGTCCCATCCCTAGCTTTTTGTGCAGTGTTCTTCTGGTTAGAATCATATGAAGACCTTCTGCTACAATATGCAGGTGTCTTTGATGCAGCTACGTATTTCTGTGATGGCAAAAAAAATGTCTCAAAAAGTCTTAAATGGAAGTTGATGAAACTTGCAGAATTAGTTTGTATTATCATATAATTTGACTTTGGGGTCATACTGTCGCCAACATTAAGGTTATGGTCATGAGGAATTTTAGACCTTTTTCAGGGTCTTCTAAAAGCTTACATTCTGTCGTTGTGTGTGCATAGATATTCCTCGACAAAACTATTCAGGAACTGCATGACAAACTTGAAAACACAAAATGAATGGAGGTTGAGGACGTCACTTTGGACTGATGACATCATCAGTATTTCCAAAATCCAAACCCTGTTTGTGTTTCTTATGTTACTGCTAATTATCTGCATCATAATTTTCAGATGGAAAGTGCAAGTAGCTTCAAAAGGCCTCTACTTTCGGAAACCAAAGGTGAGTTGGATCTCTGTGTTGAACCTTTTGATCAGTATGCAGTCTTCTCTTCTTCTCTTCATCTGCTGGTGTGTTGTTGGGTTATGCTGAGTAACAGTTGGCCCACTGACCCACACTGCATGTCCCCCTCAGGTTCTTTCCATGAACAACTACTTCTCTGTGGGGCCTGACGCTCTGATGGCGCTCAACTTCCACACACACCGTGAGAAAACGCCCTCCTTCTTCTCCAGCCGCATTATCAACAAGGTCTGGGCCACTTCATTTGAATACATGAACAGTGTGCATATGTTGACTGTATTTGAATGTGAAGATGCTCGTTTGTCTGTCTGCTCTTTGTCAGAAACACAGTGGTTTGTAATAGTGTGTCCTTTCCTCTTTCTCTAGGCTGTATATTTTCTGTACGGCACCAAAGATTGTTTGGTCCAAGAGTGTAAGGACCTGGATAAGAGGATTGAGGTACAGTAGCCTCGCTCACATGAAGCATCGTGCCAGCTGTTTTCATCTGTGCAGTTTATAAATAGAGGTGGGGAGGAACAGAATAAGCCAATGTTTGCACTGTTTGAGCCATTCCTGGCTGAGAATCAGTGACTTGTACCCTAAACTCCACTTGTTGAGGTTCATCTGCTTCTTAGAGTTGTCACTCTACAAATGAATTTGTTGCTCGACCTCCTTGATTAGATACAGGTCAAACAAGCCACAGTAAAAAAAAGGAATATTCTGTCAGGGTCTGCTTTTAACTGAGAGTGACCTTTTGTAGTTTATACAAATTTTCAGGATTTTGTTATATTTTTTTAATGTGGCCTTCACTGAATAAACCCCCCAGCTGTATGTTTGTAATTTGCTTTACCTGTAATTTGTCAGGCATTTCCTCACAGTGCTTTATTGTTAAATACCCAGAGCATGCACTAGGTTTTGGGATTAGCATAAAGACCTGAAGCAGAAGGTGAAACAGCTAGCATAGCCCTCACTACAGTTCAGAACTCCCCGCCACGGAACCACTTGTTGATTTTACATTTCAACAAACAAGATTAATTGGCTAGGTTTAGAGGTGCTGAAGAAGTATTTTTCAACATAGGTGAAAAAATCTTTTTTAGAATGACGTATGGCTGAATCCATATTTTAATCACAGCTATAACATCACGAAGTAGTCCTTATCAGAATGGTTGTTTCTTTTTTTCTTTTGCTCATGTAAAAAAAAGCTATAAGGTCATCCTTCCAGAACGTGATGTCCACATTTGCTGGCAGACATGTTGGACTGTGCACAGAATAACTCTCTGTTTGTGTGTGTGTGTGTGTTCCCACCACAGTACGAGTTGGATGGGGAGAGGGTTGCTCTGCCCAGTCTGGAGGGCATTATAGTTTGTAACATTGGCTACTGGGGTGGAGGCTGCAGACTCTGGGAGGGTATGGGAGATGAGCCCTGCCCCCCGACACAGTGAGTGACATTTTGACAAAGGTCACTATGACTGGAAGCATCAGTTAATCCATTTGTAGCCATAAAAATATCAAAAGCACATTAGAAACCAGCAGAAGCCATCACTAGCTGTTGTTAACGCATCGCCATTCTTACTGAAGTGTTTATATCAAGTGCTCGAAGTTACCATAGCAACTAACGGTGAACAGCAGTGATGTTTCCTGTGGTACCCTGCAGGCTGGATGACGGTCTGCTGGAGGTGGTGGGTGTATTTGGCTCCTTCCACTGTGCTCAGATCCAGGTCAAGCTGGCCAACCCTTTACGGCTGGGACAGGCCCACACTGTCAGGGTGAGGCAGTAATACACACACACACACACACACACACGCCACAGTACTTCCTGCTTACCTCACTAAGTGGGTATGAAGAATGACAGTGAGGGAGTCAGATTAGGTTTCCCTGCCATTTGCCTCCTCGCAGCACTAACTAATGTCATTAAAAATACACTGTTCAGTTCCTGTGCAGGCTCATTGCCCTTCCTTGTTTTCACATCACCTCCCTCTGTTCTTTGCAGGGTGATCTTAACCCTTCATTAAACAAATCCACCATTAAACACTCAAGAAGTATACTAAATAAAGAGACACTGATGATGCACTGTGCATTTCCAGATATGAAAAAATAAGAAACCAACCCTTTCAGACTGACAAATGCTTTCAAGTGGTTTCTATTATCTGCCTCCTTTAGTTTTAAACATGTAAACATGATGGCAGTGGCAAGGAGAGACAGGATGCCTGCCACTGTTGTGTACCTTCATGGGTTGCCACTGTGAGTGTGACTATGACAACCACAGGAAGCACAACAAAGGAGAAACTAGAGGAACTCATTTTACTGATATTTGAATGGCCTACGTAGGTATGTACATAAGTATCAAAACATTGCTGCTCACCAACAGGGTCAAAATTAATGTCACAAGTGAGGGAATACCAAGTCAAGGCCTGCAAAACAAAATGGTGAGGGCAGCTTGTAGCCTGAGAGGCAAAACCCAGGGCAGAAAAAGTTGCAAAACACACTCGTTTGTGATATTACAGCCCTGCTGCTAAAAGCATTTGCTCTGTTTCAAGCTATAAAGCAGTTTAAAATGTTACATGAGGAGATAGGTTTAGGTGGATAGCAGTAGCATGGTAAAGTAAGGGGTAGAGCTGGATGTCGCTATAGCCATGGCAACAGGATTTCATTCACTGTTTGTGAGTCAAAATAACAGAAGTGTCACTGAAGGGAGAGAAGGTAGTGGTAGGCACTGGTATCACAATCACTGACAAGACACTAATGATACGCTGTGCTATATACTCAAGTGTCGGGTGCTATTCTTCCCTCTCCAGCTGGTTCTCAAGAGCTCCAAGATGCCCATGCAGGTGGACGGGGAACCGTGGGCCCAGGGACCCTGCACCATCACCATCACTCATAAGACCCAGGCCCTCATGCTGTACCACAGCGCAGAGCAGACGGATGATGATGACGATGAATCCAGCACCTCCGAAACAGAGAGCCCCACCCCTCATGGCTCACCCAGATCCCCACGGCCTGCTTCAGGACCCACCTTGTGACCTGAAGCTATTCTAAAGTTTCCGTCTTTCTTCAGCCCACTTTCTGTCATCCCTCATTTGCAGTGGAGCTTAGTTGTCCTCTCAAAGATCTTTGAGCACACTTTACCCTCAGTGGTGTTGGTGATATTAGATGTTATAATTTTCATCATTTCAGACCTTTTCAGGGATCGCAGGGTTGTAGTACGATTGGTTTGGAATTGGGCTGGTATGAGTTTTCGTTGTTGTAATCCCGAGCTCAGGCAGTTCCCCACCACAGGTGGGACAGTCGGGAGGAGGCGAGCGTTATTGAGAAAGATCGCTGTTTATTGCACTGATGCCTTGTGCCATAGATATCTATAGTTGAATATACTGTTGCTATTATACTGTATTTACAATTGAATGCCCAGTGCTGCCCTGCAGGTATCGGTGAGCCATTGTTAACAAGTTCCCCGGGTTCAGTTGACCAAACGCCCTCAAAGCCATTTTTTTCAATCAACTGCAGGTGGTGAGATAATACAGGAGAGAGCGGTACTGATGTAATGAGTGTCATGTGGAGGTTTGGCTTAAAGTACATGCAAAGTTTGATTGTCGGTTAGTGAGATTTATAACACGAAAAGCACAAACAGCAAACCAATATTATACAGGCAAGCAGAAATCTAGTGGGTGAAACATTAAACTGCACAAAATATTTGTTACTTCCTCCTTTCAGACTGCTCATCAGTGCTGATAGTTTTTTTTTTTTTTTTTTTTTGTCTCCTGTATTTGTCATCCAGCGTTAAGGCTTTAAAATGCGTGTGTGTAGTCTAAATGGTCTTTGAGTCTCAATGGAACAATGGCACTGTTGACAACTGCAATGTGTTGGCAGTCATTGGACATCAGTGTTTGTTTACTTCATGATGCACTGTCTCAAGTAGCTCACCAAACTAAGATACAGTCTTGAACCTATATTTAGCTTTACTGTAAGCGCCACAGGAAGTTGAGGTTTACTTTGAAAGCACTGCCCTTGTGGAACTGTCGTTCAGAGGATCCATTAAACTTGTGTTAGAGCTTTTTGTGTTGCATTGTTTGACACCTACACTGACTTACGCAGCTTATATACATGAAACCATAATCTTGACGTTTGACAATGCTGCTGATTGTGATAAGCTAATGAGGCTATGCTCCCCTATGTGATTCTGTCTTTCAAGCAGTCCTCTTGCACTTCATGTTTTCCCAGTAATCACCACAAGGTGGCGCCCTAAATAGTTTTATCCTGCAGATAAATTGAATTGGGCTTCAGTTCAGTGTCAGTACTACCATATATGCACTTTTCTGTGTAGCGTTCAGGTGACATTGATCTACCTGTTCAGTGCTGTTGGTTGTTTCTTCCCTGTAAATGGTTTTGTGGTTTCACCAGTGTCTGGTCAGTGTCTTCTTGCTCAAGGACACCGGTTTGATCTTTCACCTTGTCATCCATGTTTACCTGTGTGTGTGTGTGTGTATTCTGTTGTGTTGCACTGAGTTTGTATAAACATAGTTTTGGGTTTTATTGGCAGGTTGCTAGCCACACTAGCGACATGGCTGTAGTTCAAAACACCATTTTAGAGTGAAATATGTTGGCAACTGTAGGACTGGTTTGTCATGCAGTTCTACACAGACATTGCTGAGCCTAATGATTGTATTGATCCTCTGGGTATTAGAACATGTTGTGCTTGTCAAATATTTGGTAGAGTTGCACTCCAAAAAAGTCTGGGGCCTGTTCCATGAAGCGAGAGCTGCGGGGTCTGTCAGCTTTGAGCTCAACTCTGGCTTTCTGGCTGGTTGATGGTGTTCCCATCCGGTTACAGTTATATTTGCAATAGTGCAATAGATACCATGTGAAATAAAAAGTAAACCCTCTGATGTCTTCTATAAATGAAATCCTCCACACACTGGTAAATACTGTACATAGCCCTGATTTTAAATGAACATACCAGTCAGACTGACCTGATCAGAATGTTCTTTCCTTTCTCCTTTTAAGGCTGCAGAAACACTCACATTACTTATTCACCTCTTCAGATTAGTCTGTTTAGCATTCCACAAAAGAGCAGATACTGTATATTCATTCAATAAGACCCATATTATATCTGCATGTTTTTACAGCAAACCCTTAGACCCTATTTGATTATTTAGAAAGTATTTCTAATGTTTCTACAGCTTGTAATTCTATGTGATCCTGTTGTTTACAATTCAAATTAACCTGCAGGTACCACATTTCTCATATTTAGTACTCCCTTCATGCTTCTGATGATGTTTCTAATGAGCAACTGCCTCTTACCGTGAACGTACTTGTAACCTGAGAGGAAACCCAGAGTCAACAAAGCCAGTTGATAACCCGCTGTATGATACCTGTTATCTGGGACAGTCGATACTAGACTCAGTGGAGACAGACTAAGCTGAACCCGTTCCATAGTACAGGCCCCTGGTTAAGGCAGCTCTGAACTGATGAAAGCTGACGATTACAGCTGTGGCCAACAAGCTGAGTGAAAGATGTCCGGGGCAATAGCCTTTTTGATTTATGTAATAACATGGCCTTTTCTCTAGCACAACACTCATTTTCTGTTTATTTTATTTTTTTCACTGCTGGCAGTAAAGGTTTAACTAGTGTCCATTTTTAAACCATCCAACAAGTGGGATTCTTGGGATAAATCTCAGTTCCTTCAAATTGCAGCCACATTTCCCTCAATTGGTTCTTTTCCTTGTCTTAGTCCTGCCCAGTTAAGATTTTAGTAAAAGATGTAAGAAGGAAGTTTGAGGAGAAAGAGAATGCATTATTAGAGACATGCGACATCCTTAATCTGAGGTGTCTAATCACCAAATGATTGTTGATAGGAGGGGCGTGCCATTCTTAAAGACTTCATTAAGGATGTTCTCTTGCATCCTCCAGAGCTTTGGGATGTTCTTTAAGACCGGAAAGACTTCCAGGTTGAGGCAGGATCAACGAGCGAGGAACAGTGAAATGAGGGAATATATACCTGTGGCGCATCAAGAGGGTTGCTAGTGTGGCTAATGACTTAGTTGACTTTTGAGGGGTGGAGGAACATTGTGATGTTATTGGTTTGGAATGCTCCGAATTCATAGCTTACAGTTTATTGTTTGTTAAACTTGGGCAGATATAAAACAGTATTTAAATCAGTTTGGTAAGGTGAACTGAGTGAATCTGTGTGATGTAGATATCCTTTAACGTAAAACAATTAGCACTGGGTTTCTGCATTCAAAATTCAGTTGATCCTCACATTACACTGTTACCTGTACCAAAATGTTTTCATTACAAATACATATATACATGTATTTGAATATCTTTCTTTTGCTGTCATATCTGTAATGTAAGAAAGAAAGGAATCTGGCTGGGAGAAAAGCATTTAGTGATAATCATGGAGAACATACTGTAGCAGTGAACAGAAATTGCACTAAAGAGGTTTTGGTGAATTTGCTACTACAAGTGACAAAACAGATTTTGGCTGAACTGAATGTAATGAAGTGATCCTTAGAGTTGGAAGACATTCCCATAAATATTTTCATATATATGCCACTTGTGTCTGTGTTTTAATCAAGTTATGATTTATAAAAAAAAGACTAAAGACTCTGGTGTAATGATGCCTGGTCAGAGATCACTCCTGATGGGTAGATTAACATGTTAATATTTACAGAGTTAAACCCATCAAAATTAAAACATGGCGCGCACCTCTTCTCCAGTGTACCAGTATTCACTATTACGTGGCGTTTACACTGCTCTCAACAGAAAATACTGGATGTTGTGTTCATTTCCAAACTGCTCTGCACTCTGTTAATCATTTACAATGACGTGTCAACGTGTAAATAATCGTACAATACATAATCATAGCAGTCATAACCTGCAGTAATGCACCAGAGGCTGTACACTGTTTGATTAAGAAACAGAATGGTTCCATTTCACATCATGTGACAAACTGATAGGCTCTTGTATGATGTGCAAGTCTCACAGACATGTGAAGCCTGGACAGAAGCAGGTACATCCACTGCTGCATCTAGTTCTTCTTAGGCTGTGGGTGGGATTTGGTTGATTTCTCAGAAGGAGGGTGGCGTTTGGGATGATCTTTCTTAGTGAAATCTGATCTCGCACCTGGCCTACTTCCACCTGCCGCACCGGGTTGCATTCTGTCTTGCTCTGAATGGAAATATGCAGAAAGATTTCTTTAATAGTTTGCCCATAGTTAGAGTTTTGTCACTTGCCAAACTGGAACATTCTGACACTATCTGACGTTGCTCTTGAAGTAACAATTACAAGTACAACTTGTCAAAAGCCTTCAGTTTGCCAGTATCTTGGCGCGCAGATAATTCAGGCAGTGCAGGTTTATGAAAAGGGCATTAGAAAGCTCTCTGTGAACCATAGACCATACCTGGATGGAGTTTAATATAAATTATTTCTGTGGCATCTCAGGCACAGACCCACAAGACTAAATGTCATAAATGGTTATACAAATGTAGATGCTACAGTACATTTAATGTTGTGTGACAGATAAGCCTTTATTATTTCTAGCACCCAGAGGCAAACGTCTTACCCACAAAGCCACTCAATTTCTTATTTGACTGTAGCGTGTTAATCTTGTAATATTTAATCCATCTCTGGTCATGACCAACATAAACATGTTCATGAAATAATATTTCAGCTTGAAAAGAATATAAATGTAGATGACATACTCTGGGGCGACTAGTGAATGGTGTCACTCTTCTTGTCTGTACAGGGGAAAATAGAAACAGAAATATGAAACTCATTTGTTTTACTAAAGAAGACAAAAGGTTGGACTTAAATTCATCAGGTGGCCAGAAGCATGACTCCCATTTAATGTTTATATTGCTGCATATTTGCTAGACTTTTAAACAGGCAAATATTGACTGACTGGTGTAAGTTATCAAACATTACCGACTGTAATATTGTGTATTTCCCCCTTGTGTTGCCAAAGCTCTGCACTCCACAAGACCTCTGGTATCAGCTTCCAGAGGACACCTTCAGGGGCCATGTGGTGGCCAGGACACGATAGTCACAATCTTCCAACACAATGCTGCAAAACACTACATAATTCTATGTGCCTATTTACTGTAGCCACTGGAAAAACTCCCAACATTTCCACGAAAGCGACTGCACCTCAAACTAGCCCCGCCCATCTACCATACGCAGCTCCTTGTACATAGACAGCCTAATGAAACGTGTTCAAACAGCCTGAACCCAGTCGGCCACGTCACACGGAAACTTTAGAAGAATAGCTCACTGATCTACGTACGTGTTCACTGGGCCACCGCCTTCATGGTAAATATTGTAGTGGATGCTATTAAAAAGGAAAGTCAGCATGGTTAAACAATTATCAGTTCATAGTGAGCTTAGTTCTGCCATGACTCTGGGCAGCAAGCTGATTAATCCTTGTCACTGAGCAGCTTACATGAAACATTTATCATGACTAATGGTTTCATGTTTAAACATACTGTACACCCAGGGATGGTCAGAACTTTGTGGTTTGGATAATTGAGCTGTGCAGATGGAAAACAAGTAAACTCGCATGTGTAGAGACGCCTGTCAAACCTGTTACACAGTAGAAAACAATACCTTTATGAGCTGGTTTGCAGACTGTTGCTTTCTTAGTTTTTTCTTTCTCTGTTTTTTCTGTTATGGTTTTCTGAGTGGCTTCTCCTTTACTTTTCTGTAAGTCGCCCCAGAGTAAGTTGTAGAGTTCTGTAAGTGTGGCTCTGCAGGGTAGGTATTACTTTTAACTGCAGCTGATTGTTGGCCTTTCATTGGTTCAATTAATTCATGATTGTTCTCTAAAATTATTGGGTATATACTAAATTAAATTAAATTAAATTATTGTGTATGTTGCATCTTTTCAAACTCAAATTATTCTGACAGTGCATTTTTGTAGAAGCATGGCTCTGTCACAGTGTAAAATAAGCATAGTCGATGTGCTGCTGCCCATCCTTCTCTCATGCCACTGTCCCAGGGTCAAACCCATGGACCACACTGTTGTCTGCTACACCATCATTGCACATTTCCTAATGAGAATGTCTTGATTCATGTAAAAATTTGAAACTGGGTAAACGGCTGCAGGTTTTTTATCATACTTACGTGCCCATTGTGCTGCATTAAATGGCGGAGTCATATTAAAGTTTGGTGATGGGCCACGAAAAAACTGTGGTGGAATCCAGCCTGGTTGTGAGCCCATGAAACCAGGGACAGGAACTGACTGGAAGTATGGCCTCATGGGTGGACGACCTGAACTGTGGGATCTGGGCTTTCTACCCCGCACTTTAGGCTGTTGTGTCTCTGAAACGGGGAAGGTGAAATGAGGACGTTTTGCACTGCTGTCACGTTTTTAGCACAATGTAAAGAGTCACAAAATGCTTGTCAAATTGTTTTGCTGTTTTACCTATCAAAGCATGGATGTGCTTGACAGAGATGTGTGAAGGTATTTATAAGTACTTCAGAGAATCAGTATGCATGGTGATGAGAAAAACTGCACAGATTGTGCATTGTGTTATGTGGCTTCAAAGCTCATGTTTATCATACACATGGGCAGAACTTTTCAGTTATGTACAGGTACATGCTCTACTGTGTTGAGACATTTTGCTACGACACTACCCTCATCGAGATGAACATACCAGATTCTGGCTGAGATCCAGTGCTGGCAGGACTTGCAGCCCCAGAGACAGGAGCTGTTTTTTCACCTGTGGTAAATGGACTACATTGACTGTTTTGCTTACAATTTGCCTCTCATTCATTGATTTCCATTATTTCCCATATAACACAAATTCACCACAATGCCTGTGTTCAGTTCTATGACAAAATTAGACATGACTGGTTCTTTATACCTTTGTAATACATATGAATATTAAATATAAATAATATAAAATATAAATTCTCCCACTAAATTTGTACCTGCGCCTTCACTCGGTTTCATTATTGGTAGTCTGGTCTCAACAGGCTGGTTAAGGATCTCTGTCAGATGCTCCTTCAGTGCAGTAGAGAAGGCTTGTGCTGCTGTCACCGTCTTGGAGTCCAGGTTGATTCGAGGCATGAAAGGTTCAGACTTTACAACTTTAGGCAAGTCAAATGTAGCCTGTGAGGAACAAGGGAAAACAAACAGTTTTAAACAGGATGTGTTTTTCCCAAGTCATGCAAGACATGGTTGTAATAGCTTGGTATTTTAAAGAGAGGCCATTTATAGAGTGCATACAATACCAAGACAACTTCTGTGATTTCTACTGGGATCTCACTATTCTGTTTCATTTCCCTTCGTTTCCCTCTCTCCTGCTTCTCTCTGTGATAGTGGCATTCGCACCTGGAGAAATGCTGGGGTTTGGGACTGACTCAGCAGACTGTTGATATCTTCTCTGGCTTTTCTCATTGTCTCAGCGTTGTCAGTGAACCTCTTCATGAGGTCCCGAAGTCTTGTCTGACCGATTTCCAGCTCGCGGTCCACCTCAGTTTGGGCTCTGCGTTCCTCTTGGGCCAACATATCTCGTATTTGCTGATACACAGTTGCCAGTGCTGTCTTCCGTTTGGTTGCTCCATCCTAGGTAAGGACCATGAGAGGAACCACAGAGAAACATAAGTACAAGTAAATCAATATAACCTTTTACTTCATTTGTTTCCTCTAGGTGACTGCTTTTGGGAAGCATGAGAAATGTGTAAAAATTACCTTCAGCTTGCTCTGCATGTCATTCATTTGAAGTATTATATTTTCAGTCTTCTCAATCTTCTCATCTAGCAAACCCAACTTGTCTCTGAGCTCAGACTACAAAGACAGATACAAAACACAGTTTCAGTACACATAAAAAATTGTTATGTTTAAAACAAACAGTGTTGTAGTCAAGTCCCCAGTGTTCAAGTCGAGTCCTGAGTGTCTGAGTCCGAGTCGAGTCTGGGTCACCAAAGAATAATCTGAGTCGAGTCCCCGTTACCCGAGCCTGAGTCATCAAGGTCTGCATAAAACACAACTGACCATTTTATTCCAAGTGTACTGCAGAGGTCAAGCTACACTTTCTCACTGTCTGTCATTTTGATGGACAGGGTCATAAAAATTCCATGCAGCTGCACCCCTCTGTGATCCGTAGTGGTCACAGACGGGCTCCGTGGCCTGTGTCTGTGGCTATTCAACGCACTGTTTGCTCCCAGATAATGAGGTGTGTTGAGTAGGTCTCAGTTGTCCTTCATCCACCACATCAGTTCCTCTTTGTTAACCTCATTTATCAATGCCATATCAGCCATTTGGGCTTTTAAGTAACCTGTAAGCTAACTTCATAGAGACTGTGTTTGCCCCCAACCACCTAAATTATATAAATCAAAAATCAACTCAAGAGGAGTTATTCATAAGAACCTAATTAAAATTAAGACGACTCCTCTTATAGAACAAAATAACAGGACAATCAAATGTGGACTATTAAATATCAGATCTCTCTCATCTAAATCTCTGTTAGTGAATGATTTGATAAATTAAGATCACATTGATTGCACATTGACTTATTGTGGTGGAGGGGTTTGAGTACCCGAGTGATCCTAGGAGCTATGTTGTCGCGGGGTATATGGCCCTGGTAGGATCTCCCAAGGCAAACAGGTCCTAGGTGACGGGTCAGACTAAGAGCAGATCAAGAACCCCTTATGAAAAAATTAAGAGCAAGGACCGTGACGTCGCCCGGTATGGCGCAACCACGGCCCCACCCTGGAGCCAGGCCTGGGGTTGGGGCTCGAATGCGAGCACCTGGTGGCCGGACCTTTTCACACACG